TTATTCAAGATGCAAATTTTGGTAAATGAAGAAGCGCATTTGCAGAAGAAAAGTATGACAGAACAAATAATGTCTCTGCATAGAATAATCATGTATTCCATGGTCTGCTCCCATTGTCTTTGTATCCAAAAAAATAAATACTCTGGTCATGACAGCTATGTGTGGATTGCCGGAAATTAAATGAAAAGACAATAAAAGATGTGTATCCCATACTGAGAACTGAAGATAACTAGGATGCTTTGTGTGATATATCAACTGGACTTGGATAGGGCTTATAATCAAGTACCAATGAAACCTAAGGAAAACAATGCGTTTTCCACCTCAAACGATGGAGTTTAGCAGTATACATCAATGCCATTCAGACTATGTAATGCGGCATCAACGTTAAAGAAAATAAATGATTGATTGATTAATTGATTGATGTTAAATGCCACTTTCAGCACTATTGGCTAGCGGTTATTTTTATTGGTGGAGGAAGCTGGAGTGCCCGGAGTGAACCACCGACCTTCGGTAGGAAAATTGACAATCCTAGTCAATTAAGTTTGGAGTCGAACGCACCAGCAATGTGTGGGATTCGAACTCACAACCTCCGTGTTGGCAGGCTAGTGATCATGTGACAGTAGCTAGGCCACTCGCTCACCGAGGTCCCGAGAATAGTTGAAGCAGCAGTTAGCAGACTTCAGTGGTATATTGCAGTGTCATATCTAAATTTTATATAAAAAAAGAAGATGTGTTATGATTGCCAATGAGACAACTTCCCCCCAGAGACCGAATGAAGTAGAAGTTAACAACTTTTAGCATTTTATTAACATCTTTTAACTCTTTGTATAGTTACATTTAATGACATCGTATTTGGGGCCGATATCCATTTGCGCCAGTTTCTGTGTGCTTGACTAATGTATGTGATTTCATTCCCCAATCAAATAACTGTGTACGAGTCATCCGTAAATAGCCTTGCATAGCATGATTTAACAGCATATCTCCATCTAATTTCTTTATTTTCTCTACAAAAGTCTGACGGAATTTATTATCACAACTAGGTCGGTTTCAGGCCCACTATCAGACTCTATCTTTTTGAACAAAATTTCAAACATCCTTACAAGTGAGTATTCTTAATGCTACATGTACATAGGTAAATCGTTTACAGGTAAATATGGCGCAAAAGTATACCATAAGAAAATAAACTGTTGACACACAGATATGTCTCGCCTATTGGCATAAAATTCAGAAAAAGACAATCTGATGGACTGTATCATATTCTATGTTCAGTGGACCGTGAAATTGGGGTAAAAACTCTAATTTGGCATTAAGATTAGAAAGATCATACAAGGAAACATGTGTACTAAGTTTCAAGTTGAGTGGACTTCAACTTCATTAAAAACTACCTTGACCAAGAACTTTAACCTGCCCACTCGCACTATCATTTTCTTTGTTCAGTTAACCGTGAAATTGGGGTCAAAACTCTAATTTGGCACTTAGACTACTCAGTTTGGCATTAAAATTAGAAGGATCATATCATAGGGAACACGTGTACTAAGTTTCAAGTTGAGTGGACTTCAACTTCATCAATAAAATGCTGGGGTGCAGCTTGATACGACCGCAGAGGTCGAACCCTGAACAGTTGGGGAAAGTATGGACACAACATTCAAGCTTGATACAGCTCTGAATTTGGATTGTGATTAAATATTTGACACAGCATAGGTTTCTGACACAGAATGAATGTGGTCTAAGAACTTAAAAAAATTTAATTTATCTATTCAAACCATATCATTATTATTTGCTTTTATATATAAATCAGAAATAACCAATTTAAAATGGAAAATTTTAAAGAAAAAAAAAGGAAAAAAAGGGAAAAAAAATCCCCCCCCCAATTTTTTGCACCCCTTATGATTCATCACCCCAAAACTCAATAACAGCCTTCCCTTTGTGGTATGGTACCTTGCAGTACAATTTCAGAGAGATCCATACACTTGAACACAAGTTATTGTCTGAAAACTAGAAAAATGCTTGTATTTTGCCCCTTTTTGGCCCCTAATTCCTAAAATTTTGAGGCAATTGCCCCCAAAATCAATCCCAGCCTTCCTTTAGTGGTATGGTACCTTGCAGTACAATTTCAGAGAGATCAATACACTTGAACACAAGTTTTTGTCTGGAAACTAGAAAAATGCTTATTTTTGGCCCCTTTTTCCTAAACGTTTTGGGCAATTACCCCCAAACTCAATTCCAGCTTTCCTTTTGTGATATGGAACTTTGTAGTACAATTTCAGAAAGATCCATACACTTACACACAAGTTATTGTTATGAAACTAGAAAAAATGCTTGTTTTTTTTTGCCCTTTTTTGGCCCCTAATTCCTAAAATTTTGAGGCAATTACCCCCAAAATCAATCCCAACATTCCCTTTGTGATATGGGACCTTGTGGTACAATGTCAGAGAGATCCATACACTAACACACAAGTTATGTCTGGAAGTTACAAAAATGCTTATTTTTGGCCCCTTTTTGGTCCCTAATTCCTTAACTGTTGGTACCATAACCCCCAAAATCAATCCCAACCTTCCTTTTGTGGTATTGAACCTTATGGTAAAATTTCATAGAGATCTATTCACTTAAACTAAAGTTAGAGTGCGAAAATCAATTTGTCTTCGGACGACGACGCCAACGTCATACCAATATACGACCGCGAATTTTTTTTGCGGTCGTATAAAAACTACCTTGACCAAAAACTTTTACCTGCCCACTCCCACTATCATTTTCTATGTTCAGTTGACCCTGAAATTGGGGTCAAAACTCTAAATTGGCATTAAAATTAGAAAGATCATGTCATAGGGAACATGTGTTCTAAGTTTCAAGTTGATTGGACTTCAACTTCATCAAAAACTACCTCAACCAAAAACTTTAACCTGAAGCAGAACAGACAGACGAATGGACGCACAGACCGAAAAACATAATGCACCTAGGTGGGGCATAAAAATCAAAAACACTCAAATTTGAACACCCTATAAAATTTGATTTGTTAAGTGTTACACGGACCATATTGAACTAGTAACATTTTGAAATAGGAATTTCAAGTGCTAGGCGGGGTTGAATTGTAGTATTTTCATTACTAGTTTGATTTCAGAATAATAATGTTTAGTGTTAAGATTCTGCACGGTGTCTATTGAGAGAACTATGACGAAAACAAAGCCATCTTAGCTAAATATATATTAAAAGAAAGCAAATAAACTTAAGGGTTTTAACAGGAAGGCAATTCAACTCTCAAAGTTGTATATTTTCAAAAATGCCAAAATTCCAGTTATAACACGCCCAACAGGGCTATATTCGTTTAAGGAAGATGAACAAGAGGAATTTGTAGGTTTGCATTTTACCTCCTTAAAGGTAAAGGTCTTCAATACCCATTTGTTATCGAAAATTTAGTATAAAATGGGTTTTTGTATGTTTAAGAATGACGAGTATAGTTTCATCTCATAAAGTAATCAGATATTTATGTCTGTACAGACTTTTGATGAAAACTATATTGCTTACATTAATAGCCTTCAAATTCTTATAACAGAATTCTATATGGAAACAGTGCTTATCAACATCTGTGGTAAGTAGTTGTTAAAGTTTATGATTAGCAATATCAATAATTATGGCAACAAGTCTGTAAGCAAACCCTAGATAAGCCATTTGACTTTTAGGATAACTTGTAAATACTTTCGCTTGAAAAAAGGAACAAAACATTCAAATATTTTTTTTATTGGAACACCAAAAATACTTTTTTTCTTGAACACTTCACAGTTAATCATTAAACATCTTTCAAACTCACTGCTAGTAAAATGATTAAGTAAACATTAATATAATTTGTGCAAGTTAGTACACATTGTATTTTACACTTTATTCTCTCAAAAGGGTTTGTTCAATATTTGAAAAATGTTACCAACATCAACAACCTTAATCTGTTCTACTGTAATCACAAGTGATAATATACACTTATACTCGTTGTAGTACATTAAAAAATCATACAAATAACTAATGGTACAAGAAATTTAATAAACAAAACAATAATAATTCCTGCTGGCATGATTTATTATTTGAATTATACTAAATGAACCAAAAAACATATCACCACTATTATAAATTCATTTGCCAAATGGCTACATTTTTTGAACTAATCAGAAATTATGACACAATGGTTTTTAAAGCAAGGAAATCAAGTCTTAAATTTGAAAACATTCTGAAATAGATTTTTCAATTATCAAAAAATTTGATTTGTGTTTAACCTGAAAAAAATTGAAGCCTACTTGAAGTCTTCGACAGGCAGAAAGATATCTATGTAGCATTAAAAAAATATCTTTAGCATAAAAACAAAGCAGATTTAAGTCTATAGTAGTCTCAAAGGACATCTAGCTAAGGTCTACAAAGAGGTAGTATGTTTATTTTGTTGCTAAGTGTATTATTAAAAAAATAAATATATACTGGTAAATTCTGGAGCTTCACATCCTTTGAACTGTTAATACAAAAACAGAAGTCCTAAGAAGCCCTAAGATATCTTTCATGAAAATTCTTTCTTCAGAAAACAACACATAATTATCATTTATTTATCTCAACATATAGAAAATAATAACAATTCTCACAACACATGCTATTTATTGTATACATCAATGAATCAGTAACCCAATGACACACAACTCATATTACTCTTTTGCAACACTACAAAAAATGTACTGGTATACAGAGAAAAAGTAGTTCAGTGACAATTTACCTTGTCAATTTAAAGAGGTTTCAGAGAAAACAGAAGCAATTGAGGCAAAATCACATTGCATGCTTCTTCTCATGATATTCCTTGTTTGAGAAAAAGAATAATTACTCAGCACCATCTAGGACTGGCCATGAAAACTACAGTGGTGTTGAAATAGGGCAACTCTCAGTTTTTTTTTAAAGAACACAAATATTCATTCAAAAACAAAACATTAGATTAAAACAGTTATGATATGTATTAGAGATGCATTAGTTCATTGTATGCTTAAAATTCCCCTTTGATTTCTAGCAGCACATGTATATTGGTTATACATGTATATTATATGCTGATTGTCAGAAAATATTTTAATAAGGCTTTCAAAATCGATCTGATAATAATATTTTACCAGTAATTCAGTTTATTATGCATTCTAGTTAGGGCTATTCCATTAAAATGTATGTGGGAGGGTAGGAAGGGACTTTCAAAATATCCCTACAACTAAGAACCATTTTTTAGATAATTTTGCATAATGGTAATAGATGCATACTGAAAAAAAGACCCATGACCCACATTCAATAATTAAACTTCCCTTCCTACCCTCTCACATTCTAATGGAATAGCCCTTATCATGGCAAATAATATATTCTTGAGCAAGGAAAATCTGTTAACCTGATCAAATGATTTATTAAAACATATCTTTCCTCTTATAAGTCTTAATTGCAAGAAAATTAAGTAACATGTCTTTATTTCTTATATAAATATATATTAAGTTCTAGGATCAGCCATCTTCACAGGATCTGAAAGTTTCCTCTTTTTTTTTAATTGATATAATCTCATTGTCACGTGTGATTGACAAAAACATTCTTCCTTTGCTAGTTTTTTAAAAGTTATATTACTATGAGACTAAGTGCATTGTTGCTGTGTAGGATGTTCAACATTCCCCTAGGTAAATAAAAAGTAATAGGAACTGTTTATGACTTAAAAGTATTTTTAATAAAGATTTTTACATAAGTTATGACACAGATCTAGATTTGATTGCATGACCCTAATAAATTTAATGTGTCCTCTGTTAAAATTTATATTTTTTTCCAGATTTCTGAGGGTGCCCCTGCCTGAATACTCTCCTGAAGTGGTAAAAAAAACATATTGAAAATAACTGACAGAGAAACAAAAATGTGCAGATATATGTAGGATTTAATACATTTAAAGGGTAATACAAGCCTTCAATGAGTAAAATTATATTCAGCAAAAAATACCCTTTAAGTATTGGATGATATCAATAAGACATAAAAACATTCAATAAAGAACAATGAACATACAGGTGGATAATTAGACATTAATTTTATAAATATTTATATTGCGATTACAATATTATGATGGATCTGTTGTGTGTATGTGGGTGAATCCTCATCATTGAGGGGCCTGATGGGTTATTTTCGTTCTTCGTGATCGGCGCATTTTCGCTATCGTGATCCGTTTTTCTACGGATTTTTTTTTTTTATATTTTCGTGATCTGTGATCATGGAAATTTATTTTCTGTGAATCATGATTGACAAAAAAATCAACTCGTGAATCGTGATGAGACCCCCCATCAGGCCCCTCATCATTAACAATAAATATTTTAAAATTTATGGAGGGATTTTCATGAGCCACTATTCTTCTCTATAACTATTAAGGAATTTAATTATGAATTTTGAAATTAATTTTCTATAGTATTCACTTAAAAACTTGCATTAAGAATCAATTTGTTTCTTAATTTTGTAAAAACTGAAAAAGTTGGAACCCAAGTATTTGAATCGAATATCTATTATTTTTACACATGGAAAACTTGTAAATCTTTCAATATATGACTAAAACATAACAATAGTTTGACACAATGCCTGACTGCAACATTCTTTAATAATTTAAACTTGACTAAAACTATTTAAAAGTTTTACTCTACAATATATCTAAATAAAAACAAAATTGAGCTGAGTATACATTAAAAAGAACAAACAAAACAAATGTACTTGATGAAAATTCATCTCATATTTCATATTTCACATACTAATCTATAACAGAGTAATTATGAGCAAGTGAAACTACAAAATACCAAACAGTTGTGTAGTGTGATACATATTAAATATGTTATATACTTTCTTAACTTGTATTTTAAATTAATTCTTTTTATGTACTATATCTGATTTTTGTTTATAATTGTAGAATCTGGAACCCATATTGAATTTCTTGAAGGCTTCTAAACTATTCTTGCAGGTGTCTTCTGTTATATTTCTTTATGAATATAAATTCAAACAGTTACTAACTTTAATTCATTGAAATCAATTTGAAACAATCCATTATGGAATGACATTATAAATTTGATGACAATACACTGTTATGTCAACATTTTCTGTGAAATTTGATCAGTTGGTAATTGAAATTAGTGAAAGAAAAGATGGTTGATGAAAATATTATCATTTATATATGCAGAGGTGGATTTAGGGGGGGGGGTCAGGGTGCAGGGCCCCTAAATCTGCCTCTGGATATATAAACGATAATATTTGTGGGAAAAATTTGGTTGATTATATAGGGAATCACCGAGGCATGACTCGAGCAGGCCCCCTCTTAGGCAGTCAGTGGGCCCCCTTGTGAAAATTTCTGGATCCTCTTTTGGAATTGTCTTGGATTTTTTTTGTTTTTTTTTATACTTTTTTGCAAATAAAGATTAAGTCTTGAAAAAAAATCTTCTCATAAAGCAATGAAATAATGTGTTGCTTTAGCTTTACTTTGATAAGCAAATACCCAGGGACTTTTAAAAGGAGAAACCTTTAAGGACGGACATATTGATATAGAGATTTGATCTCAGATACTTAAATTGTCACTCAATTACTACACTGGAATGTACAAACAGGGAATTGATAAAAACTGGAACAAAGTTAACAAAAGAAAATAAATTTAGTCTCTCTTAAAAATCCAATTAAGTAAGGTTAGCCTTGCACGCATAGCTAAGGGTCATCAATTGACTAATATAGAAGTAAATATAAAACTAACTAACCTCTTAGCTCTACATGCTTTACTGACCCTCCTAAGTCAAGTGAATATGGAAAAAAAATATTATTATCAAATTTCCTTATTACAAATTTTTCCACTTTTAAATCAATTCTTGTATAAAGAATAAATTAGATACAGTCTGATGACAAAAACTGTTGTATAACTGTATATATAAAAATTCTGATTTGATTCTTATAATACAGCTAAAAGACAACCATATGGTAAAAACATTAAAAACAATATACTGACCCAATGCTTTCAATAAAATGATATAACAATAAATTAAATATTTATAAAGAATCAATCTATTCAAAAATATAACAGAGGTTATCATTGCAACAACCATAAATAAACTGTTGACACAGGGACATGTCTAGCCTGTATCTTATTTTGATAGTAACATTCAAATGTTGAGATTAGAATGACAATGATTCAAAATGTAAACTATAGAAATCAAACTAAACCTATGCACCATGACAGAAGGTGCAGTGCCACATAATCTCCATAAAATTGATATTTGTCCATGAAAATGGCAGAAGAAACTTTTCCATGATGTCACAATTACATTTATTTATAGTTGTTGTTTATTTTATGTATTACCTCAACATTAAGAGACATATATAAGTGTATATCATAAATTAAAACTTCAAATTCCAGTGCAATTTTTTTGACAACTAAGGCACTCATCACAACCTATCCTTTAATTGCTAATATCTATTTACAGTTTAAGTGCACTTACAAAAATACTGTTGACAAGAAAAAATATACTTGGTACATATTTTATATAAAGCTAAATAAACATGATTCAATTCATGAAAACTGTCAACAATTGATGATGCTGATTGTAAATTAGGAAAAACATTCCTTAAAAAAAATAATCATGTAAAAACAACAAACTGTTGTAAGTATATTAAGAAATCAATTGCATAACAATATGTTCAACCTATTAAATAAAATACCAGCTATTGCATAGTTTCAACTCTCTTATTTGGCACCATATATGTTAGACTAAAGCAATCACCCACTTTCCACTTGCATTTATAAATTAAAGTGGATTGTTAAGGCTGTTATAAGTGGGTCAGCAAGTATAGTATAAAAATATTTCTCAATAGTACAAATAAAATGCTCCGCTGGGCGCAGCTTGATACGACTGCAGAGATCAAATCTTGAACAGTTGGGGCAAGTATGGACACAACATTCTAGCTTGATACATCTGAATTTGGATTGTGATTAAATACTTGACACAGTATAGGTTAAGCAGTGTTAATACAGATAACACTATCAATCCACCAGACAGACTATCCGGTAAATTAAAACATCAACAGTTTCCAAGTACCATGGCATAGAACAGAATTGAGGAAAGAATCGTTCTATCCAAGAAAAATTATAAAGGAACTGGAACGCATTACCATTTATCACCACCAGTGCAGGTAGTCTTGAATGTTTCAAGACTAAGGGAGCTGCCATTTGATTTTTATGGGGGGCTAGGATGAAAAATGTTGTCCTGCATTTTTTTTAGTTGTAATCTCTGTCATGCCTTTTTATTTTTCACTCTATTCGGTCCTGCCTTTTTTTTTTTTTTTAGTTTATCCTGACTTTTTTTTACATAAATTGTCATCCTACCTTTTTTTTTTGCAAAGTGTCTCATCCTGCCTTTTTTTTTACTCAAAACTCCTGTCCTGCCTATTTTTTTCAAATTTCATCCTAGCCCCCCCATAAAAATCAAATGGTAGCTCCCTCACCTACATGAGATGATCTAGACCGTCGTCCAAGATGTTTTTAACTTCACTGTGTATAGAATGTATAGCACAAATCTTCACATTATTTTTCTATAAAATATTTACATGCGCATCCAAAAGTGGCAAAATAATCAGTTTATTGATGGTGGCCTAGTAATGGAAGAAGTGGATGAAGGTTTCTGACACAGAATGAATGTGGTCTAAGAACTTAAAAGATTTGAAATTGGACATTTATCTATTATGGTCCAATATCCAAAATCTAAATACATGGTTAGATTCGGCATATCAAAGAACCCCAAGAATTCAATTTTTGATGAATTAATCAAACAAAGTTAAATTTTGGACCCTTTGGACCTCAATATGGACCAATTTGATAACAGGGTCCAAAATCCAAAATCTAAATACACTGTTAGATTCAGCATATCAAAGAACCCCATATATTAAATTTTAGTTGAAATAAAATAAAGTTTAATTTTGGACCCCATTTTGGACCAACTTGAAAACTGGGCCCAAAATCAAAAATCTAAATACACGGTTAGATTCAGTATATCAAAGAACCCCTCAAAGTTTTTTTTTACTAAAATCAAACTAAGTTTAATTTGGACACTTTGGATCTTAATGTGTACAAATTTGAAAACCAGGCCCAAAATCAAAAATCTAAATACACTGTTAGATTCAGTATATCAAAGAACCCCAAGAATTAAATTTTTGTTGAAATCAATCAAAGTTTAATTTTGGACCCTTTGGACCTTAAGGGCATACGATAGTTACAGTGGAGGTAATGACGTCGCTAACGTAAAATATTATTTTTCACGACTTCAAACTGTGACATATTGGGAAAAGATGCATTTTTGGACTGATTTTCATCATTCAGACTGATTTATCTTGAAGATGAGTTCATGGACCCCTCTTTTGAAAAATAACATTTGGCTTGATTATGTATGAAGATTACTTGTGCCAATTTTTATAAACAAATCACCGATGAATTTTTTCAAATTAGAATAATATACAACAAAAAATGCCATTTTTTTTACTAAAATCATGAAAATGTGTTAAAGATGAATTATTTCCAAAGAAGTGTTATACAAATTCAAAGCACATTTATTTAGAGAAGATATCACAGATGTTTCTACAAAAGTCCGCTTCCATTTATCTTTTAACACAAAAAAGTTAGGCATGTCTCAGGGGCGGGTCCAGGTAAGGGCGTAATGGGCGTACGCCCCCCCTTTTCCAAAAAAAAAAAAAAAAAAAAACTATCGTTATCTGCTTATATTGTATTGAATATGGCAATTTATCATATTCATTAATTAAACACATACTCTGATTTCTTTTATACTGATTCCCCCATCCGATGGGTGACTTGGACACCTTTTTTAAACAACCAAAGCGGTAAGTAAATCTATACATGAAATGGTTGTTTTGTGTGACACTTCCCCAATGGCCATTCTACATCTACCCGGGGGATACTCGCTATATATATGATACCGGGTTTGTTCCGACAAACGGGGTTGCATTTTCAGCTAATTGTCTGAAATGGGGTTATGTTTTTTTCGCCTTGCATTGGAAGGGGTCAGATTTGACTATCTAGAACGGGGTATTATAAATACAATGTTACACTATTGTTTCAGATAAGGGTGAATGTTTGGTACCATTAAAACGTTTAAACCCGCTGCAACTGTTTGCACCTGTCCTAAGTCAGGAATCTGATGTTTAGTAGTTGTCGTTTGTTGATGTGGTTCATAAGTGTTTCTTATATAGATTAGACCGTTGGTTTTCCCGTTTGAATGGTTTAACACTAGTAATTTTTGGGGCCCTTTATAGCTTGCTGTTCGGTGTGAGCCAAGGCTCCGTGTTGAAGACCGTACTTTGACCTATAATGGTTTACTTTTATAAATTGTGACTTGGATGGAGAGTTGTCTCATTGGCACTCATACCACATCTTTTTATATCTACTAAATTGAAAACAACGTTCAAACCTATGATTGCAATTTTTATACGTGTGCATGCAAAACAAATTTCTTGGTAAAAGGGCCTAAATACAGCACAAACAACATTTTCCAAAAGACCAAAACAGTGAAAAGGTATATTTTAACAAAACGGGTATATATATATATCAAAAGTTCAGAAAAAGCTATCGTTAAAGATTTATTTTCCATTTTTCATGCCCATTTCATATAACCTTTTAACTGAATTTATAACTTCTTCCAAAGATTTGATATCCACATGTTAATCAATACATAATTTGAATGATCCGAAGGCAGACTATTTTCACCAATTTGTCTATCATGGAGTCTGTTATAATACTTCATAATTTGATGCTAAATTGTTGAAATCCAGGAGCTTCTGACCTTCCCCATGGACCCTATACCAGGGCAACCGGAATTTCGCCTCCTGTTCATAAAATCCTGGCCTAGGACTATTGAAATGTAAAGTAACGCCCTATACCCTAGAATTTGGAATTTCTCGTTATTGGTCTACTGCTGTTAAGATCCATCCAATCATTTTAATATACCATAGACAATTAGTGGAGAGAATTTGGCATAAAAAATATCAAACCCTGACACTTTAACTATAAAATATACATGCACCAAGTCAAAGAACCGTTATATTAGTGCATTTCACAATTATTTTATGTTTTTTAGCCAAAAAAAGGTCCAAAAAAATTGTATTCTACGCCCCCTCTTTCAAATATCATGGAATCGCCCCTGTGTCTTTCCAAAGGATAGAAATGTCATGCAAGAAACCGAAATTTCCAGTAAATGTCTAAAATTTTTATCCCATTTATCTCTAAAAGTAGCACATGAAGGTCTATTTTTTATTACATATTTGAATTGACTAGGTAAAAAATAGCTTGTATGCAAACTTTCATAAAAAAAATTCACTGTGGGATCAAAACTGTATCGTATGCCCTTAATGTGGACTAAATTGAAAACAGACCCCTAAAATTAAAAATCTAACTACACAGTTAGATGAGGCATATCAAAGAACCGAATAATTCAATTTTTGATGAAATAAAACAAAGTTTATTTTGGACCCTCTTGACCTCAACGTGGACCAATTTAAAAACAGGGGCCCAATATCCAAAATCTAAATACATGGTTAGATTAAGCATACTAAAAAACCTCTAAGAATTCAAGACTTTGAACTAAACCCCATTGAAATTGGTCAAGAAATAAGCAATTTATACATAGTATTAATAAAAGTATTGTTTTTGGCCCCTTTTTCCTAAATGGTTAGGGCCATAACACCCAAAATCAATCCCAACCTTCCTCTTTTGGTATGGAACCTTGTGGTACAATTTCATAGAGATCCATTTACTTATACTAAAGTTATTGTCTGGATGACTCCGACAACGTCATAACATTATACGATGGCAAATATTTTGCGGTTGTATAAAAACAATAAGGCATCTAATGAATTTACATTTAAATCTGGAACGGGAACCCAATTATTTCCCCTATTACTTCAATGCAATTTTATCATAATTGATGGGCAGATTTTTTATTCCCTATTATATTAGACTGCAAAATTTCAATTACTTTCTCATACTAGTAGCCCCCTTCATGGTTTCTTGGAGAAGTCTTGAAGGGTCATGACTGGCATTTAAGGTGGTACCTAACACTACAGGGAGATAACTCTGTAAAAATCAGCTAGACGTTTTTATCACGTTGTATTGTTAAGGAAATATTAAGCTTCTCAATGATCAAAATTAGTGTTTTCAAAAATTTTTGGTTGAAATTTTTTGAAATTTTTATATTTTTGTCAAAGGGTCAAAGTAAACATTTTGTCAAAATTTTATGAAAATTAAATGAGCCAAATTAATATTAGTCAAGGTGTTGGGTACCACCTTAAGAGAGTAATACTGTTTTGAGTATTTATACTGCCATTTCATTAACTTTATTAACTTCCTGGTTAAAATTGAAAATAAAATTAGGACCATTTACTTAGACAATCATCCACCCTATACATTTCAGAATCACTTAAAATTTAACAGAAGTTGAAAGTTTAATGAAAACCCTGTGAATATACTACAAATTTAAGCATCTTTACATAATTTTCATCTTATACCTATATCTTATTTAAAAGATGGTAGATTTATATAGGAATTATTTCGTTGATACTGGATTGATATCCTGTAACTGGGATCCTATTACACCTTCCATACAAAATGGTTGAGCATTGGTAAAAATGATTGAGCAATGGTATTAAATACCATTTCAATATCTAAATTATCCTATAAGCTTTACTCATTTACAGTGTGACATTTTTATCCACTATGCACTCCATAGCATGCTAACAATGAGCTTCATTATCATTGGTTATCTAATGAGTAAAACCTGCAACAGTTTCCAATTTAATTTAATCTGCTAAAGTTTTCAGTATCATCTATCTACTCAAATATCTACAGAAATTACTTGTCAATTAAAATTGTAATATTACTTTTATATTGTAAATTAATTGTAATGTTTTATATTTTAACATAGTTTGCATACACAATTGCATATTGCATTTTAATATAAACTCACAACCTTTGCACTTTAAAAAAAAAGTCATTTATAAAAGATGTATGACTATGTTGTGTCAGTTGTCAGGCTAACTAGTCAAACAAAAACTCTATCATAATATATCCCCTGGTATCAACTGCATTCAAGTTACCTATGATGCTTCCTTGTTTGCTTTTGATACAGGTAGGAAAGAGACATTTACACACATTTTACATGCCTATGGCCCATAAGGTATCGCCCCCTGGTGTCAGCTGCCTTTGGGAAACCATAATGCTTTCCTAATTGCTGCTGACACAGGATGAGTCATGGACATGCTTAATTTCTACTTTCTTTTTGGCTAATTATTATATATTTAATTGATCCAACTTTTTGTGTACTATACATATGTGGATATCTATTTTTCTTTTTTTCTTTTTGGGCTGCTTGTTTGTTATCTCCCGTATGAAATTATAAGGCGTATTACGCCTGGAAATAAGGCGTAAACCAGGCGTGAGTGGTACTTACGTGTCTAGATCCAGGCGTAAGGGAGCAGGAAACGTAAATTTCTAGTCCTTACGGGCGTAGAAAAAAGTGGTAAACCTGGCGTAAATTGAAATAAGCAAGGCGTAAATTTTCTTACGGGCGTAAAACTGTTGGTATGGCGTAAGTCATAATACCCATAATGCTTTGTTTAAAGGATCATGGGAATTTTTTTCAAAATTTGGCTCTTTGGTTTTAGTTTGCAAGAGTTGGACTTATGGCAGCTTCATATGTTCAGGGATAATTAGCTTGTTTTGTGCTTTTTGAAAGAATTTGAAATTGGAAATATGGAATCAAATTGATTAATAAAAATTGTGAAAAAATGGAAAGTAAAACATGGTAAATAATAATTATGTGAGTATAACCTAAGTTATTAAGTTTTAAGTTCTAACAGTAATTTTGAAATCCCAAAACCTTTAACCTTGGATAATAACATTAAAATCTTTTACATGAAGTTAAATTGCAGTATTATCATTATATTTTAAAGGACATTAATTTATAAAAACTTAGTTAATTAAAATGCTTAAGTTTTATTTCAAGAAAAATTAATTGTCATAATTCTTTTTTAAACTTTAAACTTATTTGAGCCAGTGGCAGTGTCTGTCTAAAATGTATTTATTTCTATATTAGCTTCTTCAATGGTTAATATTTCCAGTTTTATGTCAAACAATGAGAAATTAAAGCAACAGTACAGAAGTTTGTATTGAATACACAAAAGAACACAGCTAGGGTAACACACTGATTTGAAATAAGTGTAGTATTATGTAAGGATATTACGCCTGGTTTATTTATTGACCAGGCGTACTCATTTGCATATTACGCCTGGTTTTCTCTGGACCAGGCGTACTCATTTAAATATTACGCCTGGTTTCCGCCTCAGTTACGCTTGGTTTCCGCCTGGTTTACGCCTGGTTGACGCCTGGACATGCATTCCTTAAACACTGCAATGACGCCCGGATAAAGTATGATTTTTACGCCTGGTTTCGGTGTCATATACGGGCGTCACAGTTCGTACAGGCAGTATATCAACCACACTTGCAATAAAATGCATTAGTATTAAAAAAAAAAACATACTATAGATTCTTTATCTACGTATTCTTTAAGAACTTAAATAGTTCTCGTTTAACTTTTTTTTTTTTTATCTCATTGTTTGTATTGTATTATGAAAAATTATTGATGTTGTAATGTTTATGCCCTTTGGGGCCCATAATTGGAAATAAAATATCTTATCTTATCTTATCTTATAAACAAATTTATGAGATCAGATGTAAAAATACATAAGATTTTGTATGAATTAAAAATATTATGCACAAATCACTGAAACTAATGATTTCATTCAAATTTTTGGCTTTACCAATACATATATTACATATAAAAAGAACTGCCAATGCTCAGTTGAATATTTTGCACAAAGTCATGTGATATGCAAGAGATCAGCAGCTGTGGGCAGTATTTGACACCGGTTTCACATCATATCTTTTGAGAGTATTCTGGAAGTAAACAAAATACATTGGAGTTAGACACAACAAGATTGCTAATCTGTAGCAAAATGTTCTGTGCTGCTGTATAAATGAGAAATAAAATTGTGTGTCACAATGTGTCATTGTGGTACTATAGTCAAAATATGATAAAAGTCCCATTTCTCCCATTAACAATGGTCATATCAAAATGAGTGCATTACATGGTCAACAACACATGATAGCACAGAAACCTACAAAGTAAGAGAGCTTTCTGTCCAATGGTGTCGGAGGAGTTGAAATCGCAAAGTGTCATAGATGCTACTATATTTCTTGGTCTAGAAGATAAGTTTCTGTCCAAGTTTCATAACAATCTATGAAGGTTTACAAATTTATCAAGTCAAAATAATTTAATCCCAGACTATCTGTAAATGTTAACTGTAAAAAATTAAGTCCATCTATCAGAAAAAATGTGTAACAAACTTTAACCCCAAACTGTATCTGCTTGTTAATTGTAAAAAAAACTAACTGACTATGCGGTATGACTTTGCTCATTGTTGAAGGCCACACAGTGACCTATAGTTGTTAATTTCTGTGTCATTTGGTCTCTTGTGGAGAGTTATCTCATAGGCAATCATACCATATCTTCTTATTTTTATAAGTCCATTTATCAGTAAAATATGGAAAAATTAAAATAAATATTTTCAAAATTTTGCTCTGGATACTGTATTTTGGTCATAAATAAGTTTCATAAAATTCCATGAAGGTTTGACAAAGTCATTTAGGTCTTGAAAAACTTTAACCACAGACCGAACCTAAATGTTTACGACGCTGACAATGGAATCTAGGATCGCTATGTCTCACATAAATGTTCTAGGCTTGACAAAAATGACAGCTTTCTGTCAAATGTTCTCAGAGATGACATATTGATTAAAACTGTCAGACAAATCCATTTAGGAGTTATTGATTTTAAAAATTAAAATTTTTACCAATTTTTTTGAAAACTATATTAGATAGACAGAAAATGTAAAGGGCAAAAATGATCAGCAAGATAAGATCTACAAAAAACTTGACAAGGCATAAATCTTCAGTTGACTCCTTACAGAAGTTATTGCAGTTGAATGATGATTTAATTAAACCAAATGTTTTTGATTTTGCAGAAACTATAGTTAAAAGATAGAAACTGTTAAAGCAAAGACGATCAGCACTAGACACCAGCATCTAATAATTTAACATTGTAAAAATCGTCAGTTGACCTCTTATAGAAGTTATTGCCCTTGAATGATCCTTTTACTCATTTTGTTTTGGTATTTTTATTTTTTTATTTTTTGCATACCTATATAGTAATAGAGAGAAACTGTAAATAATGATATTTACAAATAAGTTAACATTGCCAGATGGGAAAGGTAGCAAATATATTTTGATTTGATATCATGAGGGATTAAATGTCACCAAACTCATACCCTGACCCACACACATAAAGGAGACCACCTAGAGGTCCATTAAGGAGAGTAAACCAGACATTGATTAAAAGTATGTCACTCTGACCTATTTTTTGCACTTCATTTATTTAATATCAAGTTAGATGTCTAAAATTCTCAGAAACTAAGTTTTCTATATATTTTAGACCTATTTACAATGATATTAAATTTTACTTCCATATTATTATACATGGTTGAATAAAGACAAATTGGGGATGAGGGACACTTTGAATTCATATATTACCAGTACCTCTATTGTCCTAATGATGTATCATCATGAATTTCTGAGAAATGGATGTATAAAAACAAAATTCAGATCTGAATGAACTATCCACAAAGAAAAAGGAATCTACCACTCCAAGTCATATTTGTAGTAAGACCTTAAAACAAAGGTCAACTGGCGTCACATGACTGGCTAATTACAATATCTCCCACTATTTAAAAGGGATAAGGTGATGTTGGTGTAGCATGATAGAGCTGATGTTTTTTAAGTTGCATAAAACTAAACTGAATTCTACATACTGCAATAAGCTATAATCTACAGTCAACGAAAATTTATATACTCAATTAATGCTAATTGAAAGTTTATCTAGTAAGTTCTGCATGTACAACTTCAAAAACAAACAATCAGTATGCCCTTATATTTTACAGTTAGGGTTTTTTGCTTGTGAGAGAGCTGTCTACATATTCCATTATATTAATGTTCTATTTATTTTATCCCTGCCCCCTTCTATGGTCTCTAGTGGAGAGTTGTCTCATTGGTAATTAAACCACATCTTCTTATTTTTATAATCAGTATAAATTTTTTTTTTAAATATAAACTAATTATTACCTATATATTACAGACATCAAACATATGATTCTGTTAAGGATGGTTTTGTTGGAACATCTTCTGAAACAGAGAGAATGATAAGTAAGCAAATAGTCTACCATACATATTATGGATATATATATACAATATTAGGTCAATGTCAGAAAAATATAAACTTTTTTGTATGACGCTGAGAAACTGGGGAAGGGCGAGGTATTACCGAGCCCCTCCCTATTTTTGTGCCGAATACAAAAAAGTTTATATTTTTCTGACATTGACCTAATATTGTTTTTATACTGCAACTTAAATTAATACATTGATAGCTATTTGAATTGTAGCGCAAATTTCAAACTTATTTTCATCCCTAAACGAACCCCTGATTGTGGAAAAAGTGATCCATGATGAAATTGACATTGCACAAAATATATAGACAATAACTGTTTAGTGTCTTTAAATATCAGCTGTATTTGTACGAGGCTAAGAAACAGGTGTAATGCGAGCTTCAGCGAGCTATTACTCCTGTTTCGAGCCGAGTACAAATACGGCTGATATTAAAGACACTAAACAGTTATTGTCTTTATCCTGCAATTAATTTTGTACCTTTTTTTTCCATCCCAATTGTTGAATTTGTTTTTGAAAGAAATCCACATGACTTAAAGTTAAACGCGGACTGCAATGAGGATCCCAAATTAAACTGTGACGTAAACAGTCATTTGACATAACCATTCGCTCGCAACAGAAGCAGGATACCAGGAGACTATATATGTCTAGTATACATATATCGCTTCGTGTTATTTGTACACCTGTATTAGTATAGTAGAAAGGTCGATTGCAGGATAAAGCTTTGTTACTATATTTAGGAAATAAACACAGCTAGTTGCAGTATAAATATATATATTATTCAAGATTTTTTTCAATTTTGAATAATTTAACTTTAAAACAAGAATATGTGTCCAAACACCATGACTAGCTGGCACTATCATATTTCCATGTTCAGTAAACCATGAAATCATCGTCAAAACGGGAGTGATCTAATGTGCACATAACAACAAATTATTTTTACAGTTGTCTTACTGCAAACATACTGGATTTATCAGACATAAAAAAATATAGTTGTGGTAGGTATTTTTTTATACTGTAAACCAACTTATATTCATGGATACTTTATTTCTCTTTCCGCCCTTTCCAGCCTCTTCACAACAATTTAATTTTATGATTTTCTAATTCACTTGATGTTATTGAATAAGGAAAGATCCAAGTTTTACAAATTCACAACCATTTATATTTGCAATATTTTTCTTCTCGTCAAAGTTACAAAAAATTAGTTGGTTTACAGTATATTATTTACTTGCATATCATTAACATGACAAATTAGTTGGTCATTTACCTGTGACCATGGAAAATTAATTGTCTAAAAGTTGACTAGAAATTGTGTATAAGTTTTGAAAAAGCGGGAGATTTGGCTAGCCACAAAACCAGGTTCAACATACCATTTTTTTCTTAAAATGTCCTGTACCAAGTCAGGAAAATGGCCATTGTTATATTATAGTTCGTTTCTGTGTGTGTTACATTTTAATGTTGTGTTTCTGTTGTGTTGTAGTTCTCCTCTTATATTTGATGTGTTTCACTCAGTTTTAGTTTGTAACCCGGATTTGTTTTTTTCTCAATCGATTTATGAATTTCGAACAGCGGTATACTACTGTTGCCTTTATTTATTGAACAACACCAAACATGGAAATTAGTAATAAAAGCAGTATTCCTCTATTTTGTTGTATTGGCAAGAATTTTGTTTTAAGTGCTTTTCCTTAAACAATTTTTATTAGGCCTAATTTAAACTTAAGATCATAAAGATAAGAAAGTTACATTTAAATGTATGTTTTGCTAAAATGTATCCGATAATAAAGATTCAAACTAAGATAGAAATAAGAAGATATGGTATGATTTCATATGAGATAACTATCTATACCAAAAGAACAAAAGGAAAATAATGTAAACAACTACAGGTCACCATAGGGCTTCCAAAATGGTCGTATTTTCCGGACATGACCAATAAATTATAATTATGACTTGTTGTGCCAAACCTGACACAAATATCATCAAGCAAGCCCTAGAATGGAACCCCCAAGGACATCGAAAAAGGGGGAGGCCAAAAAACACCTGGCGAAGGGGACTAACAACAGAGCTGAGTAAAATTGGGAAGACCTGGAAAGAAACAAAACGAACAGCCATGGACAGGAAGAAATGGAGAGAAACTGTAGTCGCCCTATGTCCCCCTTGGGACGAAGTGGATTAAGTCAAGTCAAGTGCCAAACCTGAAACAGACTTTTAATGTGTGTTTGCTATTTTAACATATTTCAGGGAAAAAAAATAAAGTTCTTGCGATCTTTTTGACCTGACCTTTTGCCTTAAACAGCCACATTTCTTGTCATAAAAAGTGACATGGTGATTAAGAACTATCAAAACAAACCCTACTTTAATACCGTCACCATACTACTTTCCACAATGAGTTAAACTTATTCTGTATACTGTATAGTAAGTTGTAAAAACTGTATAGTAAGTCATATAAAATGCTCTGCCGGGCCCAGCTGGATACAACCGCATATGTCCAACCCTGAACAGTTGGGGCAAAAATGGACACAATATTCACGCTTCATACAGGTCTGAATTTGGATTGTAATTAAATATTTGACACATAATAGGCTTCTGACACAGAATAACTGTAGTCAAAAAATTTAGAATTGGTTATATGATTTGATTTGATATTCAATTTTTTGCTTTTGTGCAATACACTGTGCCTGTGCGAATTGACCCCCACCCCCCCCCCCCCCCACCCCCCCCCCCCCCGCACCCCAAAAAAATAAGTATAAATCAACCCATTTTTTTTGTTTTGCTTTTGTGCAATACACTATGCTTATTGACGTATTGAACCCCCCCCCAAAAAAAAAAAAAAAAATCCCCATCCATCTTTTTTTTGCAAAAAAAAAATAAAATGCTTCGCTTGGGCGCAGCTTGATACGACCGCAGAGGTCGAACCCTGAACAGTTGGGGCAAGTATGGACACAAAATTCAAGCTTGATACAGCTATGACTTTGGATTGTCATTAAATATTTGACACAGCATAGGTTTCTGACACAGGATGAATGTGGTGTAAGAACTGGAAAAAAAAATTTAATTTACATATTATGGTGGAATATCCATAAACTAAATTGTTTGTTAATTTCAATATATCAAAGAATATGTAGAATTCAATGTTTGATGTAATGTAATAAAGTTGAAATTTGGACCGTTTTTGTTCAATGTGGACCAATTTGGTAACATGTATAAATAATCAAAAATCTAAATACATGGGAGCCCATTTAAATACATCATAAAGGTATTAAAATAGAAAGTGACATCATAGTCATGGCTAAAAATAAACAAAAATCCTTAATCAGCAACATTTAAAGTAATATCTAAAAATAAAATTCCTTTGTAACCAAAGCCCATTTAAATACATCATAACAGATATTAAAATAGAAAATGACATCAGAGTCATGGCTAAACATAGCAAAAAACCCTTAATCAGCATCATTTAACAGTAATATCTAAAAATGGAAATTACATCATAAAGGTATTAAAATAGAAAATGACATCATAGTCATGGCTAAAAATAAACAAAATCCTTAATCAGCATCAGCAACATTTTATAGTAATATCTAAAAATAAAATTCCTTTGTAACCATAAAAGCCCATTTAAATACATCATAACAGATATTAAAATAGAAAATGACATCATAGTCATGGCTAAACATAGCAAAAACCTTAATCAGCATCATTTAACAGTAATATCTAAAAATAAAAATTTCTTTGCAACCATAAAAGTAAAATAGAAAATGACATCATAATCATAGCTAAAAATAAACAAAAATTTTTTTTATTGGCAAATTTTAAATGGAGTTTATTATACTAAAACAATAAATTTGCAATCATAAACATGATAAAACCCCATTTAAACACATCATAAAAGTATTAAATAATTCAACTACATCATAAGGCTATAAAAATAGAAAATGACTTCATAGTCAAGGCTAAAGGTAAACAAAAAACCTTCATCAGCAAAATTTTATATTGGCAAATTTCCAATGAAGTTTATTACACTAAAATTGTTGGCAAATTTCCAATGCATTTATTAACAATAAAGTTATTGGCAAATTTCCAATTTACATAATTTAAAAGCAGTGTAGATGAGATATTTAAATGAGTTTGAATTACCAACCTTACACTGCTTTTAAATAATGTTCTTTACTCAATTATTTGTCTATTAAAATGGAAACCCTTGTTTTTTAACCTTTTTTCCCCTTATTCCTTAAACATTAGAGCCATAACCACCACCACCCCCCCCCCCCCCCCCCAAAGCCAATTATTACTTTCCAATGTAACTTAAATTTCCAATATAAATAATTTTAAATTTCAATTCCTCATGATATATAACCGTATCATTATTATTTTCTTTCATATATAAATCTGAAACAACCATCTTTAAATGGAAAATTTTAAAGAAAAAAAAAGGAAAAAAAAAATCCTACCTCCCACACATTTTTTCAACCCCCTTTTGATTCATCATCCCCCACCTCAATCACAACCTTCAATTTGTGGTATGGTACATTGCAATACAATTTCACAGAGATCCATACACTTGAACACAAGTTTTTGTTGCAAACTAAAAAAATCCTTATTTTTGACCAATATTTGGCCCCTTATTCATAAATGTTTGAGCAATTAACCCCAAAACTCAATTCCTACTTTCTCTTCGTGATAAAAAATAACTAACTTAAAATGTAAATTTTAAACAAAAAAAAAAGGAAAAAAAAAAATTACCCCTTTTTTGACCCCCGCCCCCCTTATGATTCATCACCCCCACCCCCCTTTCCCCCCAAACCAAGCTCAATAACAGCCTTGCCTTTGTGGTATGGTACCTTGTAATACAATTTTAGAGAGATCCATACACTTGAACACAAGTTATTGTCTAGAAACTAAAAAATGCTTATTTTAAACCCCTTTTTAGGCCCCTTATTACTAAACGTTTTGGGCAATTACCACAA